TTTTAAGACATTTTTGTTTCATTTTGTAGCTTTAAGAATATTGTTTACATCAAACTGTCAGACTTCTCATTTTAAAGTCTTTAACCAAAAAAAATTTTAAATAACGCAAACAAAGTTTAAAAATTTGGAAAAATTAGTTTGTTGCTTTTTTTAAATTTATTTTTATATTAACTAAAAATTTATTTTTAACATGCGCTTTAAATGTTGCGAATCATTTTTGATCATTGTCGTTTCATTTCCTGGTCATGTGATATCCCATTTTACAGACCAGTATTGATCATCCACATCCGGTTATTTGTATTTAGGCAATTTTTTCTTTTTCTTTATGGTTTTTGAAGTACAAGGTTTATGCCAACACACCCTTGATACACCCACTCTTTGCATTGAGTGCTAACGAAATCAGAATTAAAAGTTGAGTGATCAACAAAATTTAGCAAAATTTGTACAAAATACTCATTGAAAATTTTTACAAAAGATCACACACATGACAGTAAAATCTGCCCATCACACAATACGGTGTTCAAAATATAATCCTATACTGTATAATTTGTGAATAAATAAAGAATTCAAAATCTTTGATTAAAAATCTGCACTTTCAGTAAAAATTACCTCTTCTTTAAATTTTGGGACACCCTGGTATTTCTCTGTAACAAGTGGTAACCGAAATCCGCCGAAATAAGACTATCCGCGATTTGTATACTTCAATTTATCTTTAATTTCAATATATATTGGATTAAAATTTCAAAATAATTCCTCAATACCTCTTTGTATGGCAGAAATAATTAGTTTCTTAATTAGTTTAAACTTTTTCTTGTATTTGATTTTATTTTTACTTAGCTAGTATCCATTTTAAAAGATTTCTGTTTTCCAGTCCGATTTTTCTACTTTATTAAACGAGGTTTTTTTCTTCCTAAATGCTTCGTTATTATACAAGACTTCAGCTTTATTAAAAGTTTTTTTCTCTCATTACTTCTTTCAAGACATCAACTTTTTTTCAGAAAAAAAAACTTTTTTTTCCTTGTTCCTATTAGCGAATTTCATCATTTCAGCGAGACGTCTCATATTAAAAGTAGCCTAATTAAAATCTCGGAGGATATTTTTTGAGGATTTCGTAGCGAATTCTAATCTTTCTCAATAGATGTCTAAAGTCTAAAAGAGGAGATATACAAAGCTATCTTGCCTGCAAAGAAACTCAGCCGATTTGCATTTGAATCAGCCCTTAATTATCCCAAAGTTGGGAACCTACCACCCGTTGCGAAGACTGTTACCAAACAATCAAGGGGTCCTAATTAAAGGTAGAAAAGAAAATTCTTTCTTCGGCACCCCTAACTATCTCACATTTATTCAAATAATTGTTGTCAAGGCAACACGTCTACCTCATGATTCTTGTGCAGCTTCTAGCTCCCTTAGGCTAGGTTTAGTTTCCATAGTAACGTAATTAAAGATTAGAAACTAAAAGAGAAACTCTAAAAGCATTTTGAGAAGTCAAGTCGAAGGCCTGGAAGTGATTGGATTAAAGTGTTACTACTCTAGAGAAAAGTTTTGACAAATTAGTGACGAGGCTTTCTTGCCTTCCAATAAAGGCATCCTTTGAGTATCGCTTTAGGTTTTTTTTTCCTGGTAGTTCTATCAACCCCGTGTGCTCAGTTTTCTCTTTTTTTTATTTCTTGAGATGGCTTTATACCAGGTCATTTTCTAATACCAGGTTTTTTCGTTGAAAAAATTTTTAAATGACAGTTATAAAAGAGAAAAGAAATAAGGTAGAAAAATTGGATTCAGCCATGCAACATCAAGGAATTGATGTTCTTTAACAATGTAAATCAAAAGTTCTTTTTTGTAGGATGGCAATAAGTTATTTGCTTCAGTGATATCAAAAGGTTTTCGATTCCGTTTAAGAAATATTATGCTTTCTTTGTCGAATAAGTTTTCAAAGTACATTTGTCATGCTATATATTTTCGAACGGAATTTGTGTGGCTCAAATTCGATGGAGTTATCATTTTGATTCTAAAATTCTTATTTTAAATCGCTGATCGATGCAGTTGAATAACATTACTTGTAATTTTGAATGAAGAAATTTAATTCACTGCAAAAAAAAAGACAGCGCATAGGAGTTTTTATTAGCTAAATTTAGAAAAGTAATCTGGAATAATTCGCTGAAAGCAATCAATAAATATTTAAGAAGAACTGCAAAGAATATCTTAAAGACAGTCTAAAATCAAAATAAACAAAAACCTCATAACATAAGTTTCTTAGTTAAGTTTTAAATATTTCGAATATTTTATTGTAATTAATGCGTCGATTTCTGGTTATACTTTCTTATAATTATAGTTTTGATTAATCATGAGCGAATTTTTGGGTTTGTGAGTCATGTCTGCTTGATTTTAGCTCACTTAAAAATAAATTTTAATAAACAATTTTAATACAGTACTAAAACAATACTACGCAGCAAGCGTAGCGATAATAGAACGAGTAATTACCTAGATTTGGCAACGTAGTATATGTTGTACAAAGTCGGGTGAAAAAATACATGTACTTTCCAAATGACTGGTAGGGGAGAGTCGGGTAGCCCCGCCCAGCGGGTACCCCCGTCTACAGTCAATTTCATATGTGTAGAATATTTTTCAAGTCAATGGGCCATCGGACATTAATTGTTATATTAAAAAAAGATTATTTTCAAAGTTTCAAGTATTTATGCAGCTGTTAACATGGTAAACAATAGTTTTCAAAATATGTTGAATACAGTAGTCATAAAATTAAAAAAAATTGTTGAATGTTTCGATTAAACTTCATTTTATACTAAAAAAATAATTTTTTCTATAGATACAGCATTAAAATATGTAGTCTTAAGTTTAATTTGCACGAAGAAAGAAGTTTATATGTGAAAAATTGTTCGAGTAATTACAAATTTACAAAAAAATTGGATTTCGGGTAGACCCGCTCACATGAATGTNTTTAAGCAATTTGAGAAATTTTTACGCGCAATTATAAAATGCGTTCATCCAAAGATACTTCCATGGAAAAAATAACTTTTAGTAAATATTTATTATTTTATTTAAGAATTGTCAAAAAATAATTAAATGGTAAGGTATGCAATTTTCAATATCATTTTAAAGAATATAATTTTATATAGCAGAATACGAAATTTGAGAGGAATCGGTCGAATAGTTCCTGAGAAATCGAATTTTAATTATCTTACTTTTTTGAAATTCCGTCGAAAAAAAGATGTGTTTATTCAAAGAACGTTCATTTGTATGTCTGATTTCGTGACTTAAAATATCGTCTTCACTGATTAATTTGTATATTTGAAGTCACCCATTCGAGCCATTGAGATTGAGTCCCAGAACGTGAAGATTTGAACATTAAATCAAAAGTTAATCAGTCTGGTCTTTTTCTTTGTGCACTGTACTTATACTATAATCTTCACAAGTTTATGTAATCCCATATAAAAAAAAACAATGCAGTATCACATCAATGCTGCTGAGATCGGTTTTTGCACAGATTATAGAACCTCAAACCGAAATTGTGACTTTTATAGGCTACCTTGGTTATACTTGGTTTGTAAGTTTTATAAGTTACCTTTCATAGGTTATAGACTTTTATAGGTTAGGGTTGCCTTGAACAGAGTGTATTATTTTGCTAATAAATTAAGACAAAAAAAAACAGATAAAGTGTGCAGCTTTAGGTTAATATAACCCTATAAAAGCCTATAGGTAATCTTTTAGGTTAATGTAATTTAAAAGGAATCTTTAAATTGCATTAACCTAAAAGATTTTAAGTTCTATAACACAAAATCTGAAAAAAGTAAGAACTAAAATTTCCTTTTAAGACATAAGTTTTAAAAATAAGTTGTCAGAGACGTGGTAGTTTAAATAAAAATAATAAAGATGTCTTTTTAAATAATGACATTTGCGAAGAAATTTTAAATAGTGATAAAAAGTTTAAACTGTCAAGATTCAATGTGCAGATTTATTGCTTCACTTATTAAATTTAATTCGATAGCAAATATTTTTATTTTTTTTAAAAAAATAATACTTTATATTTTGAATTGCACGTTTAGAGTCATTTTTCCCAATAATTATATTTCCCCAGTCATAATTTTTCCCTATTTTTCATTCGTTGAAATGAAAAAAAGGTTATCAGTTATGTTTTTAATACATATTTATCTAAATTCAGTGCTTAGCTAGTGGAAAATAAAATGAAAATACACGAGCAGGTTATTATTGTTTAATTGGCTACGTATTACTTCGTTTTTTTAAATAGTTAGCATTTTACTTTTTAAAAATTTTAGGTAATTTCAAATTATATTTCATTAAAACTGTCCCTAACATTTTTAATTTACATTACTGCGTTTTTAATTATTTAGTTTCTTCAAACCAGTATGTTGAAAAAAAAATTAAGTTTGATAGGTTCAAAACTTGCCTTAATATTTTTTTCTTATCACATAATCCCTGCAATCTCAAACCAAACTTTCATTGTAATTGATTTCAAGATAAATTTTGAGTAAAAAATCAAAACTGAAAAAAATTTATTCCACAGTTGCGTTAACATAAGCTTTGAAACAACTCAAGGCAACCATAATAGAATCTGCTTACAATTTTGATTTCAGAAAAATACAAATAGAGCAGCAGATGTGATTTATTATTACGAAATTGCCTTTTCTGTAAGAAATACAGAACGAGTCATACTTTTATCAAGTTAGCTTTATCACTCATTTCCGGGTGACAATTTAATCAAAAATATTAACAAAAACCAATAAAAGAAACTTATTTTGACGTATAGAGAAAGGAGACATATGAATACATGCAAATAAAATACATATAAATTTTAAATTTATTTTGAATCACAAATTATATCTTTTAAAAATGGAAACAGAAAACCACTTATTCATAGACATATCGAAAAATGTAAATATGTTATAAGTTAATTCGTGGGCTGGTCTAGCTCTTGTTATCAGCACTCGAGATAAAAAAAATAGTGTTTGTTTTATTATCACTTTTTTCAGGTAACGCAACCAACATCCATTTTTTAAAACGACATAACACACCTGAGCATTTGTGATGTGAACAATTAGTGCGAATATGTACGGTTTTTTCCATAGTGCCGTGCTGATTTTATTTTTTAAATGTGTTATTTGTTTTTCACTTAGAAAAGATCAATCGATTATTAATCAAAATGGTAAGCTGCTTTTGTTTAAACAGCATATTTGTTTTGGTCTTTAAATTAACACTTAGTATTGTTTTTGATATTATGTTGATTTTATATTATTTAAGGAAGGTCGCTTTTAATTGTTTTAGATTATTCACGAATGAAACTTAGAAAAGCAGTATTTATTTTTCTTATTTCGTGCCATCAAACTTTTTTTTTGTCCTTTTTTTTCCTGATAAATTTTAAAACCACACCCTTTACGCTAAGAAATTACATTTTCTTGTGACTATCAATTTGTAATATTGAATTAGAGCTAATGAAATGAGTTATATTTGTTAGAAATTATAAATAGTACATGTTGATGCATTGTGAATCTAAATTTAAGTTTTAAAAAAATTCTAAGTTATGTAGTTACCTAGTTGCTTTTTAAATTCATATGTGTAAAAACTTATAAGTTTAAAACATGTAAAAAGTAATTTTATTTTGTTGACTTTATTTTATTTTATTGTGAAGTTAATAATAAAGTTGGAAAAACAACTGCAAATATGATAGCTACTCTTTTAAAGTCATAAATCTTACTAACTTCATAAACCATTCAATTTTACTGCACTGAGAAAAGATGGATTCTAGTAAAATTACCATACTGTTTGGTAATTACATTTCTGGTAAAAATGAAACCATAATTCGGGTAATGAAAGTAAAATATACAGAATTTAAACCATTCATTTGATAATTTTTCCGTTCATATGGTTTGGTTTACCGGAAATTCTAGTTTCTAAAATTATAGTTCTTACTAACATTTATTTAGTGAAAAATACAAAACCGTAAAGTCAATGTAACCGAATAAATAATTCTTTGCCATGTCTAAGGTATCATGATAAAATTATCAACTTTTATCGCTTGTTTTAAAACCCTATTTTATTGTTAATTTACCAAAATCATTACCAAAGCGCTTCGGTAAAAAATATTGAACTTTTTGGTGTTCCCATAGAGCCAGAACCGCGGTAAATATTACCATTTACCATAATTTATTTCTCAGTGTACATATATTCAAATTCTTCATTAGAGTTTTCCGTATACAACGGGGACAAAAAGGTGTAAAATTTCACAATTTTTCAGAATATCGATATATTTTTTAAACTTATCAAACTTGTTGATCAATTCTAACTTCATTGTTCCTAATAAATAAATAAAAATTTACGTGATCAAAAATATTTATATTAAAGCGTACATTACGAAATGTGTGATCCACAACAATTACCAGTTTCTAAAACAACAATATTAAAACTAAATTGGGCAGTTTTAACCATACTTTTTTTTCGCAGTGTACAATTATTGTAACATGATACCGGTGTAAATCATTAAAAATCGTTCAAGTTCACGAAATCCAAAAACACCGCAGTCTCATTTAAAGCGATAGAAAATTTTTAATACACGTCTTCAAATTCTCAAGAAAAGGTGTTAATAGAAAATAGTAACATATAGTATACGTAAACTATAATTATTATAATCTTAGACCATGGTTATTTACAAATAATTTTATCACAAAAAGAAAAGAATTCGTAAAACATAATAATGTATTCACTCGCATTTCACTCTAAATAATACACTTAATGACGAACTTAAAATCTCAACAAAATAATTTTTTTTTCATTCACAATCTTTGCACTCACTACAGCCAATAGAATGTCCTTGATTTCTCATTGTCGTTTTCCTACAACCTTCGCAAATATATTAGATTGTTTTTGGTCCATTATTAAAGAATTATCTTATGCAAAGCACTTTAACCCCTTCCCCCTCCACAAAAAAAAGAAACACTTCTCTGGTTCTATGCATGAGGTAGATATAGTGTACTGTACTGTATATAAAAAAAACTATAATTTTTACAGAAGTATTTTGATAATGACTTTGGTAAAAGTAACAATAAAATATGGCTTCACAATATTCGATAAATTTAGTAAACGTGGTAAAATTTAGTAATTTTAACATTGCACCTGATCATGGTACAAAAACCCTTTGTTCAGTTGAATTTACTTTTCAGTTTTGTATTCTTCACTAAATGTGTGGTAATGAGAAGTATAATTTTGAAACCCAGAATTCCCGGTATGAACGTTAAAATTAACAAACGAATAGTTTAAATATCGTATATTTGGTATTTATTAGCCAAAATTACATTGTTTTTTTTCTTACCAAATACCATTGTTTACCATTGTTTTTTGCCATTGTTTTTTTTACCAGAAATACCATTACCATACAGTATGATAATTTTGCCAGAATTTTTTTTTCTCCGTATACTCTTTATTATCTTCGTAATTTTTTTATTATTATAATTTGTAAGTTTGTAAAAGATTCGTCTTTGCTTCAAATAAATTTAAAAAATTTTCTGCACTCTAAAAATCTAATTTATTTACTTATATTGAAATACTATTCAATATTCAAACAAAAAAAACTTCAAAAGGAGCATAAATTATATGAACTTGATAATTCCATGCACTGAGAAAAGAAATATGATTTTCTTTACCTCGTTTCCAGCATATTATGTTTTATAAATTTACTTTATTTTGATGAATTATGCATAAAATATAATTGAAGAATCAGTTTTTGCAAACTTATTCTGATTAGTTGACGAAATAATAATGTTTAATTCAACGCATTATAAATATTCCATTGCGAAAAATATTCAAATAATTTTTTTAGACTAGACGTTAGTATCAATATGATAAAAAGAGATATTTTTAAATTTTTCCTTATCGTTATTAATCAGCAGAATGGAATTTCGCTTTTACGAATACAATATAATAAAAATAATGAAGAAGTATAAATAGTCATTTTCAGATAATTATCTTTAACACTGTACTTTCTTCTTGCCATTATGACAATCGAAGTTTTTTAGTGTAATCTTTAAGATTACGCCATTTTTCTTTTATTTGAAAGGTTTTTATTTGAAATTTGCTTTCTTTTAAAATAAAAATAAAAACATCTCAAACGAAAATTTCAAAGTTGATTACAAAGGATTAATGATATAATAAATTCCAAAGTTATATTTCAGCAATGTTAAATAAAAATGGCTTTTTCTTTAACTATTATTCTTTTATTATTACATTGTGTGTGTTTTTCCTTTTTTATTGTATATGTTTTTCCTTTTTTCCCTTTTTGAAATAAGCTGTCATAAATAAAAATGATATTTAAAAAAAGGCAAAACACGTGAATAGCCATTTTCAGATGGTTATCTTTAAGACAGTATACTTTCTTGCCATTATTATATTCAACTTTTGTTCGAGTTTTAACGCTACGATGCCATTATGTTCTTCGAACTATTAGGTTTATTATTATTACTATTAGGTTTATATTATTCAAGTTTAAATATTTAAAGGGGGTTAGAAGCATTTTTTTTAAACTTTTTTTTTCTAAGTGGCATTCATTTTTTTCTGATAATGTACCATTTACAAAGTTTGCAATATTTGTTCACCCATCTGATGCGAAGCATATTTAAAGTATATGAAATTTGAAGACTTAGAATAAAGTTTACTTTTAATTTTTAATGTAACTAAGACTTTTATACTTTTATTTTAATGATTTTTTTTATTTATTTTCATGAAAAGTATTTAAATTATGATTTGTCTTTAGCATTTAAAAAGCAATTTGTTTAAAAACATCTAATTTAAAAATCAAATTTATGTTTTTTGATAATTTTTTAAAAACTATATTTATTAAAATTGGAAGCAAAAACTTGAATTTCCTGATCTTAAATCGAGGGGAAATATTTAACATACATACATTCCAAATTTCCTGGAATCTTTTTTTCTTAAATTTTGAGATATGTCGTTTTAAAAATAAAAAACATTTAAAAAAACACGATCAATAAAGCCTTCAAAACTTCACTCAAAACTACATTTGGAGTTTAATAAGAGATAAAAAACGGAAACTAATAAAATAATCACCCAAAGTATCCCCATTTCACTTTGTTTACCTGTATTTAAATTTTTTAATATCTAATTTTGAGAAATATTTTGTTAGAAACCGCAAAATTTCCGCAATTTAGGCAGTCAGTTACAAAATATTTAACCTATACAGCGTCTCGAATAGGCCATGGAATGTCCGGTACCATCAAACTCTCTTGCTACTCATAACATTGGCCAAAGGCACACCTTTGGAAAAAAAAAACTTTTTTTATTTCCTAAAAAAGGGGGGCAACGATTAATCAATTGAAAGCCCGAATAAATATCAAATCATTTCTAATAAGACACACATCATTTTATTCTGAAAGATACAGAGTGCAGCATTCCAAGGCTCATTCAACAACTATGAGCATCAGAAGGTGCCGGTGGACCGAAGATTTTTACAAGAAGACCACTTTTTAGAGTTCAAATTAATCAAATTAAATGCAATATTAAAAAACATTTGTAAAATGTGATATTACGCGAGAGATTCTTATTTCTAATACTTAAATTAAATCTTTTAATTTCAGATTTTTAAATTCAAATATTAAAGTTTTATGTTAAGGAAAATTGAGTTCTAAATTAAAGCAACGCTTTACAGCTTTTTCTGCTGTACGAATAGACTGTAAAATTTGCGCTTTTCAATAAGCTATTTAATAATTACCTCATAATAGACAAAACACATTTTATATATTAATATCCAACCTCAAAAACTATCTGAAAAAAATAATTATCCTGACTGTCGAGTGACACTTTACTCCCAAAAAATTTGGACCAAAATGCAGTAAAAAGTATTGGCACACTGAGTACAGCATTCTTAAAATTCATTATACAGAGAACTACTAAAAAATTTTACCATAAATTTTGCAATAAAGTTTATTTAATCACCTTTATTCAGTGATTTTACGGTAAATATTATAGTATATTAGATTTTTCATTCCGTAAACCTTTACACCAAAAATGGATTTTACTGTAAAAAAATATTGACATTCTGAGTGATAGTACTTTTTACAGTAATTTGATTCGAAATGTTTTAGTGCTCGGCTGCCTTAATTTTAAAATTTTTCTTGCATCTAATTTCAGATACAGAAATAATATTAATTATTCCCCTTAAATAAGATGTTATTCAAACTGATAACTGTGAGAAAAACCTTTTATAATTATTTTTCACCTATTACGCACTTAAAAAACCATAATTTTTATCGCACTAACTAGGCATACTAAATGAAACCAGTTTGTTCCTTGCAGCTGGTACATATTATAGCGGAGAGAGCTAATCGGTCGATCTCATGACTGACAAAACGGGGTTCAAATCCCAGTCTTGACACCATAATATTGCCCCTATTCCTTTCAATACATGAAGAGTTTACTGCTTCCTGTGCATTCCTCAATTTGTGACCTTACACTATTAGATATCGATATTAGACTATACGATACTTTCATTCACGTATAGATATGGCAGCACCATAAAACTGCTTGATGCAAAAAAATCTAGTATTCCCCATGTCTTAGGTGGATAGTTGAAGCAATCAGATAAACCATTTAAACCACATTCCGCTGCCCATTTGATGAAACACTACTCAACCGCAACCTATCCCTAATGTCCATTACCTAATGAAAAGTCTAGCTCCAACGTCCAGATAAGTATCTTTTTCTGCGGTTTAGAAACCATGCTAGGTGTAAATGGTTTAAAGAAACCACAAAGTTTTGTATTCATTGATTTTTAACCATGCTAATTGTAAACTGTTTCAAAACAGTTAAGGTAAAAAATGTTCTTTACTGTAAATTTAATTGGGTGAACAGACTGCTGCCAATTATTTTACCATAATTTGAGAATGAAAAATCTAACAGTGTATTTTTGAAAATAATGAAATAAATCCTTACATTTCCAAAACGTCTCAGGCCTCTTAAATAAATTTCAGACATGTTTAAATAAAAATAGTAACTCTCTTTACATTATGTCCTATTACATTATGTTTGCGTCTGCTTCTATTACATTATGTTCTTTTTTTCAGCATTTGGAGCTTCGTACGATGACTGTGATCCATCATCTATTCCTGTCATGCACAGTTTTGACATGAAAAAAGTAAGCATTCAAAAAGAAATTAGTTATAGATATATTATGCAAGATGTGCAAACAACTATCCATTTTATTTGAGTAGATATTAAAAAAATTAAATATTGACAAATAAAGGCAAAATGAAATTCCAGTTATTTTGTTAGAATACATATTTTCAAAAGAATTTTAACTAGCGACTTTGTTAAAACAGTATTTGTTTCCCAACAATTTTAATTTTTATTTTACAAACATTGCTGCAGCTTTTATTAAGAAAAAAACTTGATTAAAAGTCCTTCAAATAATGCATTCATATCGTAATAATATTTTCTTTGGTATTATCGAATTTAGGATTTTATTAAGAAGAAATAATGATGCTTGCATAAAATAAACTTTGAAAAATGCCATTTAAATTTTAGACTCAAACTTAAGCTTCTATTATCGGAAATTGTATGTGTTGTTAGGGTTAAGCTTATTACTTTAAATGTTTTCGAAGCAGAATTAACTTCTAAAAATTAATTTCAACTTGGTGAAAACGATCGTTATTCTAGGTGAATAACTGCAATCAAAATTAAACAATTTCCTAGGTTGACTATAGTTAAGATAACTTAAAATTACATTTATTTAAAATTTCTAATCTTTAGAATAATGTTGAGGTGTCATATACCTCATCCCTTTCCCTTGAATTTGTTTATAAGCTAACCATTAAAATGTCCTCTTTAAAACCCGCTCCTATGCAGAAAAATACTTCTGTCATTTAACAATTAAATTCTATGACAGCTTTGTATAAATAAACTTAACTGACATAACTGCTAAAATGCTTTGAAATGGGTTGGAAAAGTTTAATTACTTAAGTGATTTTATCTGGTAATTTTATTGCATTGATTATTTTATTTTGACAAGGGCTGGCAGCTTTTCCCAAATAATGTTTCGGGGAAATTTGAATTAATAAGCTTATTATATTTGCAATAGTTGCACTCTCAGAAATAAAACTCTCGTGTTTGACAGCAATTTTGAGAATCATTTCATCACAAAATCACGTGATTTGTGACAAAACACGAACTCCTTAATGTATGACGAAAATGTTTCCTTATTTACAAAACCTCAACGCGGTCGCATTGTTAACAAGAATGGCGAAACTAAAACGAAGACAAGGTTATCGAAAATAAAGTGACCATCGAGACAGCCGTGCCTCATACCTGGAAAATCCAAAGTTTGAATCCCGCTTTGGGCATGTGTGTAATTTATCTCTATGTTCTTTCAGTCATGTGCTGTTGATTGCAAAAGATTGATTTACCTATGTACCTATATGGTGCCCATGATAAAGAGATGCTTACAAAATGTATTAGGGGCTACGTGTTTTTTTTTTTTTTTTTTNTTTTTTTTTTTTTTTTTTCAAAAAAAATAATAAGAGACGAAATATTTGTTTAATTTTGACGAAATTCGTTTTCTCGAAGAAGTGACGGTAGCTATTTTATGACTTCGTCGAATTGTTTACTCGAAGCATATACCAGGAAACGGTTTCGTCAAAAGCAAAGAAAAATTCGTGAAATTGGAGTATCCATTTTTTGCACTGTGAATGTAATAAATGTTTTATTCTGAAGAAATCTATCAAATTTGTACTATAGTAAAACACATTTCTTTATGATTACGACATTTATTTATTCCTTTTTTCCTGAAACCAATTTTCTTAAAAAACATGAACAAACTTTTAAGCGTTAACTGAATTCTTTAAAAAATAAATAAATAAGCGACTGAAAAATATTAAAAAAAAACTTTTCGAACACAGAGCACGATGTTGCCTAATTCTTAATTAAAACATAGCCTCAGTCAATTTTTGCATAGCCCCTATTTTGTTTCTGACAGAAGTCTCTTCTTTTAACCTACTGAATATATTTTTATGAAATGAAAACATATAAATTTTAAAATTAGTTCTTTTTCGAAATTTTGTTAGTTGTTTCACATTCATCGTCTTCAAAAAAACTTGATAGTTTTCCTCGATATGAGAACCAAGAGTTTCTCTTGGGTGAACAAATTTGTAAATTTAAATTTTTCTTCAATTCCTTTATAGTAATGTGATTTTTTCCATAATAGTTAAAGCTTTTTTTTTTCAATTATTTTATAGTCATGAGTTTTTCGTCAATTCTTTTATAATTATGAGATTTTTTTTTTTGGTTTCCTTAAAATTTTGAGATTCTCCTTAAGTCTTTTATATTTACGGGAATTTTCTTCAATTCCCTTATAGTTATGAGCTTTTCTTCAATTCTTTATAGATATGAGATTTTCTTCAATCCCTTTAAAGCTTTGAGATTTTCTTTAAATCTTTTATATTTGTGAGTTTTTTTTAATTCCTTTAAAGTTATGAGTTTTTCGTCAATTTCGTCAATTATAAGTATAAGATTTTCTTCAATGCCTTTTAAGTTTTGAAACTATTTTTAAATCATTTATATATATGAAGTTTTCTTCAATTCATTTATAGTTATGAGTTTTTCTTTAATTCTTTTACAGTTGTGAGTTTTTCTTCAATTCCTTTATAGTTATGAGTTTTCTTTAAATTCCTTTATTAGTAATGAGTATCTCGTCAATTCTTTTAAAGTTATGAGTTTCTCTACAACTCCTTCATAGTTATAAGTTTTTCTTCGATTCCATTATATATAATTATAAATTCATTCAAAACCTTCCCGACACAAACATAAATATTAGACACAATAGTTTAGTTTTACGTTTCCTTAAATATTTCCGAAAGTTAATTATTAAACAGTTAGTCGGTTTTTAAGCATCAAAATGCATTTTTACGAATCCGGATAATTTTTTAACGAATTTTCATATCCCTTATACAAAAATTTTTTTGATTTTCGAAAGGAAATTGTATTTAAAAATAAAAAGAATTTTGTGTGTTGGGAAATAAATTTTTCTTTACACATTAATTTAAGCAATTTTAAAAGTTTTCAGGAAAATGGTTTGAACTGGCTAAGACGGTTACTGGCTACATAGATGTAGCTGATGGAGTATGGCTAATAGAAGGTAACAATGCATCTCACAACTTCCTCTTCAGTGGTAGAGACAAGTAGGTACTGCCATTTTTATTCTCAAAACTAAATACGAAAAACATTTGGAATTTTCCCATTTCGTAAATTTTTATTGCGGAATCGTGTTATTTTCTATTATTTTTCATTAGATAAAAATCATTATTATCTATATGTCATAATCCTAACGAGAATATATTAGATATTTATTAGGTATTTAAATTTTTTAAACATATGTATTCTATTTATGCTTTTTTTTTCTTATATGCTACAGTGTAAAAAACTTTGGATCAGAGTACGGCACTCAGGATGCCGTTAATGTTTGCAGTAAAAACCATTTTTACTGTAACATATAACAGAACAAAAAATATGGTGTATTGTTATTTTTACAGTAATAATTACCGTAAAATCACTGATCACTCTAATTAAAAAACGGTATAATATTTTACGGTAAAAATGGATTTGACGGATGATGTATCCTAAGTGCCGGTACTTTATACCATAATTGGATCCGGACTTTTTTTAGTGTACGCGATTTGTAACATAAATTTATTTTACTCATTAATAATAATGGTCATTAATAAGAATGCTCATTTATAAAATGATTAAACTTTTCAATTTAGATGCACCAAAGAAACCAACAGTGCTTTAATTAACAAAATTATCAGAATATAGTTCGCACAAAATTTATCACAATAATTTATAGTACTTTTTATAAGACATTTATAACAAATTTACATAATTTTATAATTTATATCACTATGTACTTCTTATACGCATTTTCAATGGTTTAACGCCACATGGAATTAATAAATGTATTTAATAAGACTATAATGCTTTTAGTCAGAACTGTAAACAGTTTTTTTTTTCTAATTACATAGTCTTATGTTTGAAAAGTGATAAGAAGAATTTTATTTTTAATACTAATTAAACGTAAGAAAAATATAACAAATAGTGCTGGAAGAACTATTTTCAGCTCTTAAAATATGAGCTTTTTTGTACTTTACCAATATTTTTCGAAGAGTTGCTTTGCTCTGACTATATAAAGGCCTTATTTGAACAGCGCGCCAACTAAATTTGTTAAAAAAAATATTATCTTCTCTTTCATGTTTATACGCGTCATTTCTATCTTATTTTATAATTAGTACTCATTTTATAATTAGATCTCATTTCAACGTTTTGTATACCTCAAAATTAATAAAGATGAAGGTGCCCCTCTACTCTGTCATGCGATTGAAAGCACAACTTGTGCTTCGCAATAGAATTGTAAATACAACGCAAGTACTTTACAATAAGTTCGAGAAAAGTGGTATGAGAAAATAGATATAGTCAAAACTACCAGAACATAGTAAAATTTACTATGTTTTTGGATCTATGCATCATACTGGAAAAAACTACCGAGAAGCTCGGTAGTTTTTTCCATGATGCCTTGGCTTTGATTTTGGTAAAATTAACAGTAAAATATAGTTTTGTAATATGTGATTAAAATTGATATATGTGATAAAATTTGATAATTTTCATGATACCTCAGAGCATGGCGTAAAAATAAATAATATACCATTAAGTGAATTTAAATATTCGGTTAAATTTACTTTACGTTTTGTATTTTTTATTAAATGCGCGCTAATAAGAACTATAATTTCGTAGATCAGAATTCCCCGTAAACCATTACCATGAACGGGAAAATTGCAATATAAATAATTTAAATACCAATTTTAATTATAATTAAATAATCACAGCATAAATTATGTTTTTAATACCAGAAATTTCATTACCATAGAGTACGGCACTTTACCAGAAGTGTTTTCTCCATGAGTGTTGGAAACCATTTTCTTTCTATTGCTTAGCGAAAAGGAATTTCAAAAAAACTAATAGAACAAAATTTACTCTTGAAAAAAAAATTGCAATCGGTAGTTTATCATACAATAATGTCAAATATATAAAACTCTCATTTTCGAATATTTTGTCGTTTACGTTGAATCTTCTCTTGCGCAGAAATATTCATATAAGACTTTCATTTTAAACACACTTTCCTGTAAAATTTCCTTTCAGATGGTATAAAAATCTTATCAAATTTGTATAAAAACAGTTATAATTATTATATAAATAGTTATTATATAATTTTCATAAAATTAGTTCATAGCCAAACTATCATTTTAATACTATTAAATTCCGTTTTTAAGAAAATAAATATACGAAATAAGCCTACTTACATGTTCTTGTCACACAATATTTAATATAATTTATAATAATCATAATTTATATATATAT